GACGACTGGAAAGATCACTGGTAGAAGAGGCAGAGGCAGAACAAGAGAACTTATGGTAGACTGCTTGAGACAGTGGCATGGTGGAATATCATCAGTGGAATTGATCCAGTACATCAGATACCGAGATATGTGGAGATGCATGAAGGCCTACGCCAGCTGGTAGGGCACTTGATGATGATGTTGATATGTACTTAAGGGAGTGCAGATTTATAAAAACTGTGGAAATGCATTATGAACTTACTCATATTTATAGAGATTGCGTATAAGTATTATTCATACATTTAAAATGCTGTATCTAAGTATGAGCAAATCTATAGACACAAGTGTATTTTTAAGTATGAGCAGATCTATAGACACAAGTGTAGTGTATTTTAAGTATAAGCATATCTATAGACATAAGTGCAGTGTATTTTAAGTATGAGCAGACCTATAGACACATGCGTAGTTTTTTTTTAAGTATAGGCAGATCTATAGACACAAGTGTAGTGTATTTTAAGTATGAGCAGATCTATAGACACAAGTGTAGTGTATTGTAAGTATGAGCAGATCTATAGACACAAGTGTAGTGTATTTATAGTATGAGCAGATCTATAGACACAAGTGTAGTGTATTTATAGTATGAGCAGATCTATAAACACACGTGTAGTGTATTTATAGTATGAGCAGATCGATAAACACACGTGTAGTGTATTTAAAGTATGAGCAGATCGATAAACACACGTGTAGTGTATTTATAGTATGAGCAGATCGATAAACACACGTGTAGTGTATTTAAAGTATGAGCAGATCGATAAACACACGTGTAGTGTATTTATAGTATGAGCAGATCTATAAACACACGTGTAGTGTATTTATAGTATGAGCAGATCTATAAACACACGTGTAGTGTATTTATAGTATGAGCAGATCTATAAACACACGTGTAGTGTATTTATAGTATGAGCAGATCTATAAACACACGTGTAGTGTATTTATAGTATGAGCAGATCTATAAACACACGTGTAGTGTATTTAAAGTATGAGCAGATCGATAAACACACGTGTAGTGTATTTAAAGTATGAGCAGATCGATAAACACACGTGTAGTGTATTTATAGTATGAGCAGATCTATAAACACACGTGTAGTGTATTTATAGTATGAGCAGATCTATAAACACACGTGTAGTGTATTTATAGTATGAGCAGATCTATAAACACACGTGTAGTGTATTTATAGTATGAGCAGATCTATAAACACACGTGTAGTGTATTTAAAGTATGAGCAGATCGATAAACACACGTGTAGTGTATTTAAAGTATGAGCAGATCGATAAACACACGTGTAGTGTATTTATAGTATGAGCAGATCGATAAACACACGTGTAGTGTATTTATAGTATGAGCAGATCGATAAACACACGTGTAGTGTTTTTAAAGTATGAGCAGATTTATAAACACACGTGTAGTGTATTTATAGTATGAGCAGATCGATAGACACACGTGTAGTGTATTTAATGTATGAGCAGATCTATAAACACACGTGTAGTGTATTTATAGTATGAGCAGATCGATAAACACACGTGTAGTGTATTTAAAGTATGAGCAGATCTATAAACACACGTGTAGTGTATTTAAAGTATGAGCAGATCTATAAACACAAGTGTAGTGTATTTTAAGTATGAGCAGATCTATAAACTCAAGTGTAGTGTATTTAAAGTATGAGCAGATCTATAAACACAAGTGTAGTGTATTTTAAGTATGAGCAGATCTATAAACACAAGTGTAGTGTATTTAAAGTATGAGCAGATCTATAAACACAAGTGTAGTGTATTTAAAGTATGAGCAGATCTATAGACACAAGTGTAGTGTATTTTAAGTATGAGCAGATCTATAAACACACGTGTAGTGTATTTTCAGTATCTCAACGTGTCCTATCTAAAGCCAGGGTCTTCTCTTCAGCTCCTGGACCACTGGAGGTTGTTTAGTTCTCTCCTAAAAGCGCTGCATTAGTGATTAGACAACACCATGTAATTCCCCCCTATTCGGCGCGGGCACCAGTTAATGAATGTTTGCAGATTGTTAGTAATTGCCTTAGTCGTTCGCCATGTTTCCGTTTCAGACAACAGTACTGTTTTGGCACAAACTGTAAGTTTATTATTAGTGTTAATTTCTGTTGACCGTCGCAAATTCCCCAGTGCCATTAAAGAGAGATATGTGCACATGCAAGATGAACCTGCATATATTTACAGTGACATGTGTTATGATTATGTGCATATTAAGAGATATATGTTCCCCGTGTGTGTCTTAGGGCACAATTTTGATTTAAAAAAAAAAAAAGAGACGAACTGCTCCTTTACAAGCACATCGTAAAAAGCGACCATTTCAGGGTTTTGTGAAAACGAAAGAGGAGGAGGGAGAAACAGAAAAAGGAGAAGAAGAAAAAGAAGAAGAAAAAGAAGAAGAAGAAGAAGAAGAAGAAGAAGAAGAAGAAGAAGAAGAAGAAGAAGAAGAAGAAGAAGAAGAAGAAGAAGAGGAAGAAGACGAAGAAGAAGAAGAAGAAGAAGAAGAAGAAGAAGAAGAAGAAGAAGAAGAAGAAGAAGAAGAAGAAGAAGAAGAAGAAGAAGAAGAAGAAGAAGAAGAAGAAGAAGAAGAAGAAGAAGAAGAAGAAGAAGAAGAAGAAGAAGAAGAAGAAAAAGAAGAAAAAGGAGGAGAAGAAGAAGAAACAGAGAAAGAAGAAGAAGAAGAAAAAAAAAGACTGTCCCAAATTTTCGTTTACAAATGTCGAGTGTAGTGATAACTAAAGCTCAAAATATTTAATGTTTTTAAATATTAACTGTAGATAATGACAATACTGTCTTTACTTACTAGATGACAGTAAGAGACAAGCATCCCATAAGGAGACCCTTGTTTTTACATGATTTAATATATTAGCATACATTAAGGCTCATCTATCCATTATTCTACTATTGCATATATCCACGAACATAGCCATCATCCCACCCATTCATCTACCCACCCATTTATCCCATCATCCACTCAGGCTATTTTCCACCGCCCCCCCCTCTTTCTGGTTGTTACCAGCTTTCTGCTTGGGCTCGACTGATACTTTGTATAAAAATCACCCTTACTGTCTCTATTTGATAGCTGACTGTAAGAGAAAAGCACTATGTCACTAGACCCATGTTTTTTACCTCATTTCACATATAGGCCGATCCATCCATCAATCCATCTATCATTGCATTCAACTACGAATATAGTCTTCCATCTTTCCATCCATTCATCTAGCCACCCATCTATCCCACGATCCACTCATCCATTCACTCCACTATCCACTCATGCCCTTTTCCCATTTATCCTTCCATCGCTCCTTTACATTCTGGTTTTTTACCAGTTTTACGGTTTGGCTCGACTGATAACTTTGTATAACAAGCATCCTTACTGTCTCTATTTGATAGCTGGCAGTAGAAGAGAAGCATCTTATCACGTGACCCTTGTTTTTATATGATTTTTATATATTATCACACACTGAGGCCGATCCATCCATCTATCTACAATTCCATTCCTCCACTAATATAGCCATCCTTTATCCCATCCATTCATCTACTCACCCATCTATCTCACCATCCACTCGTCCACTCACCCCACCATCCATCAATGCTATTTGTCCTTGTCCATCCAGTTACATTCTGGTTTTTACCAGTCCTGGGCGCAGCTCGACTGATACTTTGAATAACAATCACCCTTACTGTTTCTATTTCCTAGCTGACACTAATACAGAAGCAGTGTCACGAGACCCTTGTTTTTAACCTGATTTCATATTGGCATCTAAAATTATATCCATCCACGAGTATAGCCATCTGTCATTCCATCGATTTGTCTATCTATCTAATCAATCAATCAATCAATCAATCAATCAATCAATCAATCTATCTATCTATCTATCTATCTATCTATCTATCTATCTATCTATCTATCTATCTATCTATCTATCTATCTATCTATCTATCTATCTATCTATCTATCTATCTATCTATCTATCTATCTATCTATCTATCTATCTATCTATCTATCTATCTATCTATCTATCTATCTATCTATCTATCTATCTATCTATCTATCCATCCATCCATCCATCCATCCATCCATCCATCCATCCATCCATCCATCCATCCATCCATCCATCCATCTATCCATCTATCCATCTATCCATCTATCCATCTATCCATCTATCTATCTATCTATCTATCTATCTATCTATCTATCTATCTATCTATCTATCTATCTATCTATCTATCTATCTATCTATCTATCTATCTATCTATCTATCTATCTATCTATCTATCTATCTATCTATCTATCTATCTATCTATCTATCTATCTATCTATCTATCTATCTATCTATCTATCTATCTATCTATCTATCTATCTATCTATCTATCTATCTATCTATCTAATCTATCTATATATCTGTCTATTAGCATGCCTGTCTGCCTGCCTGCCTGTCCGCCCGTCTGTCTGTCTGTTGGTATTTGTATGCTTGCACAGGCTCCACCTTTGTTCCATGCGATTGTACTAGTGTTATCTCAACGACACAACCCTGGTTACGCTATATTGGCCAACCCCTCCCTTCCCCTTTAGACACTCAGTGAACGCTGTTGTATCTGTTGGCGTCTACTCCGCCTTTTACCCAGGTATACCGACTCGTTTTCGCTTCTCGTCCGCGCGGGGACGATTTATAGGCAAGTACCTGTCTTGTTTATCGTCTTGAACGAAGTTTTTCGCCAGGGACACAGATGAGTATTATTTATTTAGTATATTAGAGTACTATGTAGTCACTTTTTAGTTAGTGCATATTTGTGTATGTGTGCTGTGTTGTTCTTTATGTGCTTTTGGAGGCTAATGGCTGTAACGTATTTGTTTGTTCATTGTGATCGACTTTGTAAAGCTGACATAAACTATTTTTTTCTTTTTTAACCCCTTTTTTCTCTTCCCTATAATTTCCTACCCTTTTAAAAACAAGCACAAGGTAGAGTAGTCAACATACGTCAAATGGCAGAGTTTGATTCTCCAGCAAAGCCCACAGCTGGTGCTTCACATGCAAAAAATCCAAGCCCACAAGCAATAAACCGAAGCCCACAAGCAACAAGCCCAAACTCACAAGCAAGCCAGCCCAGCAAATTAAGCTACATGCAAAGGCCGCCTGCAATTCTGCCCAACTACGGCAAGAGGTGGAAACATGGCCGATCGCTGAAGACCAACCTACCTAGGGTGTTGTTGTATGACAACGCCACACAGCAGTCGGTAAGCCCGGTCTTGTCTTGCAAAACAAACGAATTTAGGATATAATTAGAGTACTTGTTCGTGTTCTTCTTCTTCTTCTTTTCTTTTTTCGTCAATCTCCGCTTATGCCGCAGTTCATCAGACGATCAGCAGCCGAGCCAGGTCGCCCTCGGTTGCCTGATATGCCGTGATATTATGCAGTCTCAAGGTGTCAAAGACTCGTTCACTCTATATTCTTCTCATTCTTCCCCTGCCTCTTCATGTTTCGATTTTCAGGTTGTACGCTCTTGCTGCTGGCATCGTTGGTTTCATTCTCATTAGATGGCCAAACCATTCCCTTCATTGTTTCTCAATAAATTTTACGATGGATGTTGTTTCAACAGTTCTTGTGATCACGTCGTCTCTCACTCGGTCTCTTCTGGTTCTAATCACAGCCATTCTCAAACATCTCACCTCACAGGCTGTGAATAAAACTAGAAGAGATCGAGTAAGAAACGACGTATTCAAGTTCAGCGGCTGTAAACTTCGGTGGAAAGTTCTGGTCATTCGTCCACTTCTGAACGTTAATGTTGTTCAAAGCGTTTTTTCTCCTGGAACCAAAGGTGCTGGTACTATAATCATCATCAACCATCTGAATTGGCCAAGTTCAACCGCTACCTAGGGAGCTAACCTCTCCTAGATAGCATCAATTATACTTATGGATCCTGTTCATGCTGTTATTTCATTGCGTGTTTCTTAGTGTTGGTAATTCTAGCCTTTCATGTCTGTCGAGCAAATTTTCAGCATGTTGTTTGTAGGGCCGTCATCTTACTGCTGATTGGTTAGTCTGTTGCTATTCATTTTGCAGGATTATAGTGTCTTGCCATTGGTTGCTTTCCTCATTATATATTCTGATAAAATAATTATCATAATGTATCTGCTATTGTGGTCGCTCTGTTGAAGTCAGTCAGATGGTTTGTTCCATTGTGTGATACGTCGGTGGTTTCCACTACTGCATATACGAGAAGGACCTAAGTTGTTACTTTTCACAAAATGTTTATTACAGAAGTGATGAAAACATAATGCCTAAAAAGGTGACGGTATTGCGTACCATTGCGTACCGCTAGGAAAACAAAACAGCCATGGTCCCATGGTCTCCTTCCAGAATTTAAGTTTTGGGTGAACATCCTTTTTACAGATCTAGCTTGTTTATAAGTATACTCTTTGTTCCTTGCTTTTCATGCAAATGCACACCGACCTCGAAGGAACTGTCTAATTAATTGACTCTTACGATATGCTTGTAAAGAAGACGGTGGGTTTATTCTCGGACACAAAGACCTGATCCGTATGTACCGCCAATATTGCAATGCTCACATTGCTAGAAGGCCTGACATTCCAGCACAACATGTCTCAGCAAGCAGGATATTTGCAGATACTGCTCGAAGTATCATGCCTACAGCGAGTGTTTAAAAGCCAAAATGCACAGTGATTTTCGGAAGCCCACTCCAAACAGGAAATGCACAATCTGCCCCAGACAGCGTGGGACAAAATATCTGGGATGCAAGCAAATACCATAGTGCAGAAAGACTATGAACACTGGGCTCTCCGGCAAAAGACAGAGGTTCGCAGTCTTGGATTGCTTTAAACATCGGGGGACATATCGTAGCCTGTAGAGTCCGTGGCGACAGAACCAGCCACACGGCCCTAAATTCTCAGTGATAGCCACCTCCCCAGCTACCTGCAAAAAGTGGCAATTAAAGGCAGTAATCGATCGATGTTGTAAAATTAAATCTTTGAACAGAGTCCTACTACTTCAGACAGGCAGGCGCATTACCACTATGCCACAGTCGTGTAGACGTTAAAAGTACCTCTTGCCTATTAAATTTATAAATTAAATAGCTGACTGATTGTTTAATTATTGAATAATAATTTTTTTTGCTTACTCAAGTATTTTCTTTTGTCTAAAGATACTCGATGCCCAGGTCTCACATATTCAGTCCCAACGAAGCAAGTCCAAGCGTCATCTTGACCTGAACATCAAATCATTTCTTCTATGGAAGGAACGCAAGGACAAGATGCTGCAGAAGCTGACCCAAGTCCACCATGGCCAAGATTATGCGCATTTTGAGCTGCAACACTACGGTCTTATCTTACACACAAACAACATAATACCAGGGAATGGCGACAACAGATTCAGTCTTTCCAATATTCGAGATGAGAAGACCGGAGAAAGAGCGGCGATAACTACACGACGTGAAAACTGTACAGAAAATCTAAGAGATCTTTTACCAGGTTTGCCTTCTGCGTTAAAGAAGGAGCTGCAAACAAAATTATCAAGCACGTCCTTAAATGTTACCAAACAAAGTCAGTCTGGGCGTGCAATTCATCTCCCGTGCATCAAGAAAACATTTCGGTCTCAAAAGATAAACAATGGCGACTATCAAGTAAATTCCGCTCCCCAATGTTTTCAGCAAAGAAATAGAAAGCTACAGATTGTGCGGAAGTCTTCGGAAGTAACAATTTCCTCAAATTTACCTTTCGACAGTCTCAGAATACAAGACAATGAATTCGCCCACAACAAACAAGCATCTATAATCTCAAGCAAGGATATTGTAAACAATTCAACCAGTGCGACAGACGAAAATAGTTTAAATCGTGGAGCAGGTACCACGAAAAGTAATTCAGAAAAACCAAGCACTGTCATAAAAAACGTTACTGTAAATAACAATTCAAAGAAATTTCGACGAAACAACAATTCAACCCCTGTTTCAGACGAAAACGAAATAAATGATGGGGTTGATACAGCAAAAAAGGATTCACAAAAACAGAGCATAGAAATTACCAAGGCAATTGAGCAAAGCAATTCAAAAGACTTTCTACAAAACAAACAAGTCAAGATAAAAGAGGCAATTTTAGACAAACGGTTTTTGCAGTTACAGAACATTTTATTTCGACAGTGTCCCCCTAGTGAAGGCTTTACAGTACTGAGTCCTAGTTTCAAGAAAAAGAAGTCATTCCATTATTGAGAATGGGGGTGAGGGGGAAAAAGGGGGGGGGGGTGGTATATCACAACCTAGCCACAAGGTAACCCTGATCTACTTTTCGTTCGGTTTAAAATTTGTAATGATTTATGTTTTAACATCCGCGGCGCACAAAAATGAACGAAATTGTTGTCGCAGCCCCCAGCTAACCAACAACAGAAAGAGCATCACGGTCTGGGGTGAACTGCGCTGCGTGAAGCTACCAGGGGATCTGGTCGACGCTCAACACTCAAGAGAAAGGTGAGACGAATGTACAATCAGACAGTTACTTGTACAATCGGAATTGGAACTCTTCGCTTGCTTCTAAAGATGGGGACGGAGCACTTACGGAAGTGTCCCTAGTGCTATGATGTAGATTCTTAATTCACTCTTCAACCTTTAGCTAACCAACACAGAAACAAAAACAAATATAAATAGCAGTTTAATTGTTAAACTTTGACAAAATGACAACAATAATAAAATGTCTCTGCAATTTCAGCTGATGCGAAATCTTTTTATTATCATCGGGGAGGTGGTGGCTGCGTGGTCTCTAGTCATGGTGTCCGCCTCGAGTGCTAGAGGTTCCGGTTCAAAACCCATTAGGAGCTGGCTGTCTGTCTGTCTGTCTGTCTGTCTGTCTGTCTGTCTGTCTGTCTGTCTGTCTGTCTGTCTGTCTGTCTGTCTGGGTAATGAGACCCGACGCCCGTATGTACTGTTGCCCTTGGCAGTTGGAAATTGAAAAGAGTAGCCTAACGCTGAATGGGCAAAATTTGGAGTTTAAAATCTGCCCAGGGTATTTCAGGAACCTCGCCGGTACTACAGAGTCTGTGCACTGTGCTAAGCTTTTCGGACTAGGACTTGAGTTAGAAGAAGAACGGAGCACTTATGGGTTACATGATGTTGATACGTTGTTCAAAACCTCAAAACCTAAAACATCAGTCGTGGAGGTGTCAATCCTACAGATTGCAGCAATACTCTCATAGAAAAAACTACTCATCCCATTAAATGATCAGACATTCTCTTGGTGACACACATGGACATCTCCTCCACTGGTTGAAGAACACTGCTCAATATCGCAAAGGCACTTTTTACTTCCCAGGATACTTCTCGGTACCCAACTGACTCCAAACAAACTTGGGATCTAAGTTCAGTAAAAAAAAAAGAAAAAGAAAAACAGGCATAGAAAGGATTTGATCCAAGACGACTGAAAGATTCACTGTCAACCTAAGGCTTTACATCACAGCATACCAAATTTTGTAGAAAGCACTTATTTTCTGGGCCGCCAGAGGGCATGTATGTATGTATGTATGTATGTATGTATGTATGTATGTATGTATGTATGTATGTATGTATGTATGTATGTATGTATGTATGTATGTATGTATGTATGTATGTATGTATGTATGTATGTATGTATGTATGTATGTATGTATGTATGTATGTATGTATGTATGTATGTATGTATGTATGTATGTATGTATGTATGTATGTATGTATGTATGTATGTATGTATGTATGTATGTATGTATGTATGTATGTTATGTATGTATGTATGTATGTATGTATGTATGTATGTATGTATGTATGTATGTATGTATGTATGTATGTATGTATGTATGTATGTATGTATGTATGTATGTATGTATGTATGTATGTATGTATGTATGTATGTATGTATGTATGTATGTATGTATGTATGTATGTATGTATGTATGTATGTATGTATGTATGTATGTATGTATGTATGTATGTATGTATGTATGTATGTATGTATGTATGTATGTATGTATGTATGTATGTATGTATGTATGTATGTATGTATGTATGTATGTATGTATGTATGTATGTATGTATGTATGTATGTATGTATGTATGTATGTATGTATGTTATGTATGTATGTATGTATGTATGTATGTATGTATGTATGTATGTATGTATGTATGTATGTATGTATGTATGTATGTATGTATGTATGTATGTATGTATGTATGTATGTATGTATGTATGTATGTATGTATGTA